AGGGGGGGGGGGAAGGGGTGAAATAGGTACAAGTTTTTCAGGCTTGGAAAGTCGGCAGAGATACAGACGCAGCACAATCATGTCCACCTACTTCTCCCGGCTATTGGGGAGTAAAAGGCTGGTCTAGACATAGACATAAATTTATGTCATGAAATTTGCGCTGGTCTGTGGAAACAGACAATGCCATATGCTAAGCTCCACATTGCGACACAACTTGTTGCTCACATTTCTATAACAAACACCTGGATTCAAGGAAATCGAACGCCAGGCCCGACGATTTTGTTAATTTTGAATTTCACTGTATTTACTTCACTTATTGCTGAATGAAAATACAGCCCAGCACACACATAGTGAACATGCACAGAGTGAAACACGCATATGTGTCATGACAGGGTTGAATCAGGCTCTCGTCAATTATTGGGCATTTAAAGTTATTAATATCAACATTAAGCTTGTTCATTTGTCTAGCATTGGGCAAAAAATACCCATCTATCTCGAATAAAAGTCAATATATTTGCAATTGAAGGTGGGGGTTGTCTGGTGTGAGATGTAAAATAAGCGAGAAAATGGCCACCAAAGTTTGGTTACTTCCAAAGTTTAGTGTCCTTGGAAACTGAAAATTTACATTTTGTGCCTTTAACTCTTTATCTCCAGCAAGCCGCTCCCAGCAGCTCGTGGTCGGAACTGCTGTCGGTGAGCTACTGACAGCGGCTTTGGCACATTCCTTTACAACAACATCGACATCAACCGAAAACAGGTCTCTTTTAGTGGAAGTTCATTCATTAGATGAAGTACTATCATAATAGGTTCGCTTGTTTCGGTTTAATGACCCATTCAGTGACATTTTTGTCATTTTTAGATTTAGTACCAAAAAAGGGCCCGGGCTTAGTGGATTTACCCCCCTCCGAGACAAAGAGTTAATCAACATTTTTCAGTAACATCCACACAGTAATGCAATTCTGAAAGGACGTAACAGGTGTTGAGCCAAAAAAAGAAAAGATAAAAAAGCCCAATGCCCAGAAAAAAATGCCGATTTTTATGATTTCATTGTTTTGATGAGCGCCTGATTTCACCATGCTGCCTCACATAAAGCAATCAGGTTTTGGAACTCACCTGGGGGTTTCTTGAGCTCCAAAAGTTCTTTCCTGGCTTCACTTAAAGCTTCCGTCAGCTCAAAGCGTTCCTCGCATTCCTTGCGAACAATGTTCTGAAGGAACTGAGCCTGAAACAAAAAGAGATTTCATCAAAATAATAATAACAGTACAAAAAATAACAACAGTTGAAATTTTTTTTTTTTTAAAGCATACATCCAATGCCAGTGCAGTTTTGGGTGTATTACCATGTTCACAACCAAAACAAAACAATACTCTCTCTCCCTCTCTCTCTCTCCTCTCTCCCTCGCTCTTTGATTTTATCACAGATGGACGTTAAATTTGGAGATCCTGCCTCTTAAATAACTTTAAAGTGTTCCAAGGGGCATGAAACTTGTACAACTTCACATATTCCTCCCTCTCTCTCTCTCCCTTTCTCTCTCTCTCTCCCTTTCTCTCTCTCTTTCTCTCTCCCTCTCTCTCTCTCGTCTCTCTCTCTCTCTCTCTCTCTCTCTCTCTCTCTCGTCTCTCTCTCTCTCCCTCTCTCTCTCTCTCTCTCTCTCTCTCTCTCTCTCTCTCTCTCTCTCTCTCTCTCTTCGGTAGAGCAGTTTCTTTCCCTACCTGCTCGGTGGCTTCCTTGACCTTGTCCTCTAGGGTCGTGACCCGAGTCTGAGCTTCGCCGAGTTCCTGCTGAGCGTCTGCCAGTTTGGCTTGAAGTTCTGTGACTTTGCCGTTGTCTTCTCCATCCAGTCTGGCTGTTGAATATTTGTCGAAAATGTCACTCAGCTGTTGTCCATGACAAATCAATAATAATAATAATAATAATATGAGAGGCATCATGGTGACATCAGTTGCTCGTCAAAATAATGAAATTTAGAAAAAAAACCCAGCATTTTCAAACCCGTTTGGCCATTTTCTTTTCCAAAATTTTGTTTTTCTGCTCATCATTCTCTATGTCCATTTTATAAACACATTAATGTGTGAGTTTTTCTGAAAATGTGGATTACAGGCACAAAAAAAAGAAGTAAATTTGCAGTTTGCAAGTACAGTCGAACCTGCCTTAACGGAAACCTGTGTAAAACGGAAACTTGTCTTAACGGAATGTCCCCGCTTCCCCCTTGATATATTCCTCTTTAATTACCTGTATAAAACAGAAACCTGTCCAACGCGGAAACGGAAAGAAAAATCCGCTCCCTTCCGAGGGTTTCACCTGTCTAAGACGGAAAATGCTTTGCCCGCTCAGTCCTGATTTGAAACGAAACTCGCAAGTTTGGTTCCGCCGGCTCTGAACTTAACACCTTGGCCATGCCGCTGGGCGAGGTAGAGGAGTAGGGGGGCAATTTGGGGGTAGATGTTACACCATCATGTGAGCCCTGAGCGATGCAGATGGTCAGTGTAGTGTGGGTGTGAAATCTCACGACTTCCCGTGAGAGTGCTCGAGTAGCGAGCCACTACTAAAACTTTCCTTGGTAGCCAGAAGCCAGAGGTGTGAAATTAGATTGACCAATGCCTGCCGCCGTGATCGTACGACCAGCCCAGAAAAGAGTTCCTCGAATCGTTGTTGTTACAACGATGGCACTGAGGAGTGGCATTGGTGGGTGGGGCTAAGGGTGGAAGCAAATGAGATGTTCAAACCGTTCTGTTTTTAATAGAACAAACAGTGGTCCTATGAAAGGCAAGCACTGGTGGTAATTGGATACGTAGACTGATGCATGGCATTATCGGACAGGATAGCAGCTGAGAGGTGTGAAGTTTTGACCACTGCTGGCCGATCGGACAAGCGATCCTTGATCCCACCCTTAAATTCCCCTGTGTAAGACGCAAAATATCTAAGACGGAATTTTTTCCCAGCTCCCTTGCGATTCCGTCTTAGACAGGTTCGACTGTACTCTCAAGGTCATTTTCTCACTAATTTTAAATCTAAAATTTAGCCACCCCACCCCCATCTCCTTCAAAAGCAAATATCATGACTTCTTTTCAAGATTTCATCAAAAGCAAGAAAAATGTAGGGGGAGGGGGGCACTGGTGGTAGAGGCATTAACTCATTCGCTACGTATTATTTTCGGCTTATGGACGAATTTTTTTCGGGAGGGCGAAATGAGATGATGACTAGTGCACAGTTCACGGGTCTTGGGGGCCATAAATTCAAATAAATATCAACATATTATATACCAACATTTTCAGTATGGTTTGTAGAATACATCTGTATTGTTTATTTGAGTATTTTTCAACTCTGGTTCCTGTAAGAGGCGATTATGCAACACAATTGTGATTGGCTGCGGATAAAATTTGAAAACCAAAAAAATTTATAAATCTCAGATGAAACTCAAAAAATACGTTTGCACCTGGTCAAATTATACATCAAAATAACCATAACTGTATATAGAACAGGAAAATATTGAAAAATGAGCAGTTATTTACATACATTCCATAATATTTGTACATTTGGATCATAACCTCCGATATTGAAAAAAAAAAATTTTTTAAATAATTTTGAAAAAAGGATCCCAAACAGAAAAAAAGACTCGTATCTTATATGGAATTATTCAGAATTGCATTTGGAATGAACCTATACATGTCTTGGGTGATACTTTTTGAGTAAATTCACCAAAAAGTAGTGATTTTAGGGTGAAAAAAAATATTTTGACTATTTCGATCTAGCACTCAAAAATATTGATTTCTCAATTACAGTGCACTGACAATTTGAGTCCAGTAGTATCAATATTATAAAGAAGAGTCCTACACTTCTTTAGTGAGCAAAATAATGATACATTTTGTAGTGTAAAGGTACTAAGACTGGTATCTGGGCTATAATTTGGGCTTCGCGATAAAACAATGTCGCATAAACTTCGAAATCGTGTTTCAAAATTTAATCAAAACTTCCGATTTTCGGTGGAAACACTTGACCCGGAAGTCAACTTTATATTATGACCTTTATTTTAACATGGATATGTGGATTGGAATAGAAACCAAGCTAAAATTGAACGCCGGTTCTCGAGCCGCCGGGGACGGCTTAGCGTACTGACGGCACTTCAGCCGCGCCGCCCCCCCACGGCTCGGCGTAGCGAATGAGTTAAATGTTCCACTAAGAAAAAAATTCAAGTAATTTTTTAAAAGTACTAATGAATGAATGAATGAATGAATGAATGAATGAATGAATGAATGAATAAATGAATACATCACTTTTTATTTAATATACCAGCCCTGAGTAATACTTAATTATATTCAGTAATACCAAATCGATCCTGCAGATCTTTGATGATCTTTTTCAGACTGGTGACCTCGGCAGACAGGTCAGCCTCTCTCTCTTGTGCACGGGTTCGAGCCTCTGTCATCTGTCTCTGTAACTGCTCCAGTTCTTGTTTATGTTTCTGTTCCATCAGGGCGAGCTCACCGTCTCTCTGTGAAGTTGTGGACAACATGAGGGGGGGAAAGAGACTAGTTAAAAAAAAAAAATTTAATTCATTTATTTTCATTACAGTCACATTTTACAAGGTCTCTCTCTCTCTCTCTTCTCTCCTCTCTTTGTCTCTCCCCCCACTCTCTCTCCTCCTCCTCTCTCTTCTTTATTCTCTTCTTTTTCACTCAGTCAACTTATTTCACTCAGTATTCGTCATTACTAAAGAAAGCGTAACCCTTTCACAGCCAAACCTGCTATTCAATCCAACCGATGAGGAAAAAACAGCCATAAGGCTGGGCAGGAATGCTTAATAACCAATAACAAGATTCGTACAACCATCATTTCTAATTTAAGACTCATTTTGAGAAGCAGCACACCAAGTTCTTAATGAGCTCTGTTACCATGCTATTTTTATCCCGCTCTTGGCTCTGGACTTTCTTGAGCAGCTCATTGTACTTGTCTTTCTCTATCTGGAGCTCCTGGAAAGGAAAAATACAGATAAAAACAATGCAATATAATATGAGAACAATATAAACATCACATTTTTAAAATTCTCTTTTTCTTCAGTTCTACATAAATTCAAAAGGGTGATCAATGGTAAGATTTTCAACCTATAAAGAAACAAGATCACATTTCATAAATATCATCAGTGTCCATAATGCTTTTATGACTTGTTGAATCTAACGTATAGATTATATAATAAAAACTGAGGCTTGTTTTGAATGCATTAACATTTATTCTACATGCGCTTGCTTCAAACGTACAGTTTGACATTTTGGTTTGGTACAGTCCACCTGCGGGAATATATGTACGCTTGTCTTAAGCATATGCCTTCTGCTATCAGTCTTTTTACATTCTGTGAATACAAAGGACCTCAAAGATAAATCAGTCATGTAAAAATGTGCGCCAATACAACTTTACCAAAATAATAAATAGGAACAACGCTGAGAGTAATAAAAGTGTGAAGAAAATTATAGAATCTGAAAACCTTGAACATTTTAAAAAACAAAAACAAAGCCAGGTGTTATTTACAAGTACTATTATAATTCAAACCCTTCACTTTAACATGGAGAGGTGACTTACCAAAACAAAATTGTGTTTCAGATTTTCTTCCAGGGTTTTCACTTCTGCCAAATGGCGTGTTTTCTCTGCTGCAACTGCTGCTTGAAGCTGTATGAATGAAAGAAAGCAGCAGTTCAGTGACGAGCAAAATGTTCTATAACTTCAAGCTGAGGTGCAGTATCACATAAGATCCCAGAAATTTAAGAAATAATAATCTCTTACTTACTGAAATCAGTTTCACATTTTATTTTTAAAATATATACATATTCCTCTCCGAAATTGTAGGAATGTGTGTGTGTGTGTGTGTGTGTGTGTGTGTGTGTGTGTGTGTGTGTGTGTGTGTGAAGGGGGAAGGGGGGGGGCATGCCAGTCTTAACCCTCAGTGCCTATGTCCTCTACCATGATGGGGTTTAGAGCAGACTCCTTTTTTAAAAATCACATTCAATAGCCTAAATGCTATGTAAGCTTTATTTTTCGATGGATATTTTCTTTAAACTCTATTTATGACAAAAGGTAAATCACAGTGTTCATATTTTTCTGTGGAGCAGAAATCATTTATGGGATATGCCATCGAAGAAAGAGTAACTAAAGAAACAAGGAGGAGGAGAAGGAGGAAGAGGAGAGGAGGAGGCGGAGGACGAGGACGAGGAGGAGGAGGAGGACGAGGACGAGGAGGAGGAGGAGGAGGAGGAGGAAGAAGAAGAAGAAGGAAGAAGAAGAAGAAGAAGAAGAAGAAGAAGAAGAAGAAGAAGAAGAAGAAGAACAATAACAACAACAACAACAACAACAACAACAACAACAACAACAACAACACCAACAACAACTACTACAACAACAACAACGACAACAACGACAACTGCAACAACACTAATATTAAACACAAGTAATTGCAATCAAAAGAACTATAAAATAATCGGTGATATATTAATAATGGAAGGGGTTGGTCCTAGAGACTGGATTAAGTGCCACAGCGATGGTTTTGCAAAAAATGAGAAAAGATCACTTTAGAAGAGGAAAAATTTGCACTACCATACATACCTTCTGAGGCCAATTCTCCATCTCTGCCATTTTGTTTTTAAAGCTCTCTCTGAGATCTTCAATTCTGTTTTGGTGTGCCTCTATCATCATTTCCCTTGAAAGAAAAATCCCAGACAAAGCACAAGTTATGGTTTTGATTGTGTCAGTAAAAAGACGAACATCGATATTTTAACAGTCATTTAGTGCTAAGAAAAATAAGATAAGTGTGAGATAGACAGTAACCATTGAGCCTTGATTTGGCATGGCTTGTTGAAGCGTGGCATGGTGTGGCATGGCGTGGCCTAGCATAGCAGCATGCTGAGTGGTGCAGTGCGGTGTGGTGTGGAGTGATGTGGTGTGGTGTTGTGTAGTATGATACAGTGAGGTACGGTATGATACTGTGTGGTTCAGTGTAGTATGTGGTAATATGGTATGGCTTGTATTCAGCAGCACTAAGCACAAAATAAAAAAGGAAATTGCTATATTCACATCTTCATACCTCTCAGCTTTCAATGCATCTACATCAGCTTTGGCTTGCCTGAGATGATCTTTTAGGTCTTGAGTTTCATCTGAAACAGACATTGTTTTAATTGAAAGGTGAAGTGGAAAGGCTTTGTAAGTGTCATGGCGAAAATTGTCAGGACAGATAAAACATGCGTACTGCTTTTGTCTTCAGGACTACTATCAATTAGTAACTAATTGAAATAGTAAATGTATAACTCAAGCTTCCCTCTCCGTTGAGAGGCTGTTTTCACCAAGTTGAAAGGGATACAACATCCTTGACGGAGAAGCCCTATAAAAAATTGTTCTCCACACATGAATATTTTCTTAGAGTGCCAGTGAAGAGCCCAGGCATTACATTACAGCTGATGCCAATGATGTGTCTTTCAATTTTTCTCTCTCAGGTGTATATACATATATATGTGCATGCATGCGTGCATATGTGTCACGACGCGGTGGAATCAGGCGCTCGTTAGTTTTTGGGTATATGGGATTATAGGTATCATCTTAAAGCCTGTTCATTTGCCTTCCTTTTAGTGAAAAAAATATCCATATATTTTGAATAGAAGTCAAGATATTTGCGATTGAAGGAGGTCAGAGTCGCCCAGTTTCAGAAGAATAATTAGCAAGAAAATGGCCGTCAAAGTTCGATAACTTTCAAACCCTGAAATCCTTGAAAATTGAAAACTTATAATTTTTTAGAAATTAATCCATGTTTTTCAGTAAAATCCAAACAAAAATGTGTTTTTGAAAGGACAGAAAAGGTGTTGAGCCATAAAAAGAAAATTGGAAAAAAACAACAAAATTGCCCATTGGCCAAAAATGCTGATTTCTTTGATTTCATAATTTTCACGAGTGTCTGATTTCACCACGATGTCTCACATATGTGTATGCCTGTATGTGTGCTTGCGTGTACGTGCTTGCATGCATACAATTGTACACATGTGAGCACCTGAGTGTGTGTGCATGTGTGTGTGCACGCATGTGAGTGTGTGTGTGTGTGTGTGTGTGTGTGTGTGTGTGTGTGTGTGTGTGTGTGTATGTGTGCATGCTTTTGCAAGCGTGTGACTGTATGTGTGAGTGTCTGTTGGCAAACAAAAATGTGTAGAGCAGAGAACATCTTGTCAGTATGTCAGTGTTTTAGCGCCCCTAATTGGCTGCTTGCACTGTATGCTTCCCAGAAAGTTGAGATTGTTTCAGAATGCTCTCAGGTCTGCTGGGGTAATAGTATAGATTGTGAAGCGCATAGAGCTTGCTGTTGAGCGGGGATTTGCGCTATACAAATGCTATCTATCTATTATTATTATCAGAAGAGAAACGGTGAGGATTCTCACTCTGACTGAGCTTGCTCTGCTGTAAGATGTCGTTCTCCTTCTGCTGCTGTTCTCTCCACTTGTTCTCCCACGTCTTGAGCTGTTTCAGCGACACTGCCAACTCATTCTCTTTACTTTGAAGCTCTAGATGCACTCTGATGAGGAGGGAGATAAATTATTGTGTATGTTCACATCATTGATGTTAATAAAAATCTGTGATAATACTAAGATTGTAATTTCACAGAAGATAAAAAGTTTCTTCTAACTGAATGCAATATATATATATATATATATGTGTGTGAAGCGTGCTGACAAAATGAGTTGCTTCACAGATTAGAGCCTATAGGAAATATGTACATCACTCTCAAAGGTAAAGTTTTTTACGATTTATAAGTATGATATAACAATAGGCATGTTATACTTAAAGTACACAGCATCAATAGAAAATCTACAAATTTGACCCTAGAGTCGATTTTTTGCCCGTATCTCTATTTGTGGATTGCGAGAAGTAACTCATTTTTTCAGCTTGCTTCACATATATACAGTCAAAACAGTCAAAGACACCCACCCATTGTCGTGCAGAAAACTGGTCATCTTAGACAGGTGGCCGTCTTACACTGTGTAATTATAATGCTTTGGTAAAGTACTGTATATATGGTAAGGAACGGTATGGTAGGAAATGGTAAAGTAAGGTATGGCATGGAATGGAGACAGTAGTTGAGAAAAGACTGAGAGAGCCCTATCTTCCAGTCTAGTTAAGCCCCAAACATCTCCTGCCTCCACTGCAACAGACCATTTACGGGTGGAGATTAGCCTGATCAGCCATCTCTGCACAAACCCCACCCCTTCAGTGATATGAAGTCAAGGTCATCTTCGCCAGTGAAGGACAAACATCAATCACTATGTAAAAAATATGCATGGGAGGAAATGGGAAGTGACCATTTGTACAGGTGAATGTCTTCTACAGTGCAAGTTTGATTGTATATACAGTTTAGCCAGCTCCAGAGTCCAAGAAAATCACCCATACAAAAAACCACTTCCCATCCCCCCCCCCTCCCCTTGCAGTTTTTAAATTATAGATCTAATGACATTGTCCAAAAACATCCACCTGCCTATGAAAACCACTTTTCTCCTCGATAGTGGGTGGCAGTCTTGGGCAAAATTGACTGTTTTAAAATTCCAACGTACAGAAGACACAAAAAATATAATCTTAACTTACAAATGACAAAAAAATGGTTCAACTCACTGGAGGCACAGAAAAATGTCTTCAATGAAGATTTCTTCACACCCTTTCTAACACAATTTAGATCATTTAAGAGATGGGCCTCCAACTACAGTGATGGATGAGTTCTCTTTCACAACATTTTGCTTTCAAATGGCATGTCAGTGTGAATTAGTCTAGAGAAAACGAACAGTATTGGTATGAACAAATTTGGTGCCAGCTCACAGGACAGTCTACCACAATAATGCAGTCTACGGTAAGTCCTGTCTCACTGTAGCCACAATCTACCTTACAGTTTACCACGATAATGTGGTCTACCTTTAGGCCTGTTCAGCATAATTTTATACAATCACTCCCATTCCCTGATGCACTACTTTTAAGACATCAGGAGGGTCCCCTTCCCTATCCTGAACACAACCTACCCCCATTAACCCTATCCGTACATCGTGTTTTACTATCATATCCGTACAATGTAGGGAACTCTGTACCACCACTTTCCAAAGAGGAAATTTACTTGTTCGTCCGATCTGTACGCTTTGCATTAGTAGTCTGTCAAAATAATTTTTCGAGAAATACTGAAAGTTTCAAAGAGATATTCGCACTACAAGTATTCAAAAATGTGAAGAATACAGCCCCGGGGGTACAAAATGACCCCAGGGTGTACGGAGAGGGTTAAAACAATGGTAGTCCTTTTCAGGACGAAAACATTTCTCATACAGCCAAAGACAGCCCCAATCAAGCTTGAATAAACATAGTCGGAAAATGTAATACTGGTCTTGTGGTAGACAATCAAGTGGACTGGCACTACACACTCACTTTTGCAGTGCCACTTCATGGCTTTGTTCTTGCTGCTTTTGCTTGTTGGAGAGATCATTTATCTCAGAGGTCTTGTTTCTGCAACCAGATGTGTAAGAAGTCAGTGGAAGCATTTTAAGAAAATAAATACCTTTGCTATTCACCAAAAGTACAGATAACAACTTGGATGATTTAAACATAATGAAATAAAATAGTCTTCTCATATGAATTGTGCTGATAGAAATTATAATAAGCCAGAATTTTTCATGCTTTATTTTGAAATCTATTTCTCAGCAAAAGATGCTAATGAGAACAACTCTAACCTGGTTTTAAAAACTCTCACCCCTCCCTCCCAATTCTTAAAATAATATAAAAGCGTTTTTCGTGCAAAATATCACGATAACCAAAAGTGTTCGTATAGAGAGAGGAGAGCCTGATCGACTGTGTGTAATGGGTCAAGTCAGTCCTGAATGGAGGACTTTCACCCATGACAGTTTTCTCAGATAGGTGAAAATAGTGGAAGTCTCAGCACTATACAGTCATTAATGGACTAAGTTCAATAAAACTTATCAAAGAAAATATCTTGAGGGCACATTTTATGACAGTTCGATTACCTCATTTGCATTTTGTACTGGTCAAGTTCCACAGTCAAAGCTCTACATTTTATTGTACTGTCTTCAAGTTGTTTCTTTGTGTCTGAAACAGAAGCCAGTCAAAGACATGTAAACAGTGTTATACTGACTACAGAGAGTAAGCCTTCGCTATACACACTTTAACGGGAGGAGCGACCCTTGAGGAACATTTTCAATATTTGTGTCCTGAAGTAAATTCTAAGTACACATATAAGTTAGGCATAGTAACATCTCATGATACGCAATTTTATTTTGGCATAGCTACAGCGGTTGCTATGGAAACGGCCGCCATCTTGAAAATAAACAATGACTTTCAAATCCCAAAGGCTTACTTATTTACTTACCAAAATTTGACAAAATTGGTGAGAGTATACCTGAACCAAACCCTATCAGCCTAACAGCGAGTTTTTTTCAATAAGCGCAGAAAAAAAAAAGAGAATTTTCCCAAGGTATAAAAAAACCTTTTCTAAATTTAGATTGCGTAATTGCTTGCCAATGGAAAAGTGTTGTTTTTTTTCCGCAAATATCTCTGTTACATTGATAGCAGCCTTGCCATCTATGTTTCCTGAAAGTTTCGTGTCAAAGGGATGAAAACTAATGAAGGAGTAGGGAAAAACAGCAAAAAAAATGACATTTTGCGAAAAACGACAATTATTGTGAAAATTCACTTTATTAACTCACCCTCATGTTTTCAAAGGCAATTTACGAGGAGAATAAAGACTTTCTCAATTGTTTCCGCGCCATTTTTAGACAATAAGAACTGGTTGATCTTCAAAAATCAGCCAACATCTCAATGTGCATAGCCTGACCCAAAATCGGCAAAATCAAGGGTCGCTCCTCCCCTTAAAAAGTGGCTTATGGCAGAGTGTTACACTAACCAGTGGATATCATCTTTTTGGACCCCCTCATATTTCTTTTCCTATTAAAAAGTTTCATACATATTCTTCCATATTTCTCCTCACACAATTCAATGTTTACTTGCATCGGACACTGGGAGGGTCCCGCGATAATAACCCTGTTCCCCATCGGACCCTGGGAGCGTCCAGTACTAGTGACAACTGTTTCGTTTTATTTAGTGCTGGTTTTTGCTTGTATTTCAGAACTATTCCTGAACCAAGTTCTTTGGTAATGACTAAGCCCTTGTTTCAGCTATTTAGAAGTTGGAGGCAAGCTCTTGGCGTTAAAACGAAACATAGTGCACCCAGGGCTGAAGGCTGACTTGCTTGACAGGGTAATCAAAGTGAGATGGGTCCAGATAGGGCCTAGAGATATTACACAAGAATCTTACTCGAGGCCGCAACACTGAGTTGTGAATGAAAACAAATCCTAAATTCATGTTGTATCCATGTTCAACCGCTAAAATAATCGGAAAAGTATCATTTCATAAACACTTACTCCCACAAACATTAAA